CATCAGTCTTTATCACAGATGGCCTTTTTCTCCAAGTTAATCGTGGTATCGAGTCCAAAAGATGTTTAACATTGGGTGAAACGTCTGATAGCTCATACGGGCAGTGCTGCTTCACCTTGATTTTTCTTTGTGTGGTTCTTTCTTGACATTCATACCAATGCATAAGGAAACCGGTCGTGAGGTTATGCGATCTGGCGGCTCTTCTTGTCCATTCAGCAACTTAGGAAGATAGAAGTAACTCACTATTTCCCAGAAATCCGAAGTTGCCAGGGAAGTCATCTTAATTATTTTTTTATAGAAGTTTAATGAAACCGCTTTTTGTTAGCGCAGTTTTAGTGCAATATCGAAAGCGAAACGAAATCGAATTGCTTCGATGAGCGGTATCTTAGCGCCATCGTAAGAGGAGGTTTTTCGGTGTGGTCGCTCAGGCGCCTGAACGGCGCTGGTTGGATGTGTTTAGATAAGTTCGCGTAGACAAAGAGAGTCGCCGACTCATTCATGCCTTTCTCATAGATCGTTCCGAAACGGTTTGAAGCAATATGCGCTCAAACAGATAGCTTGGTAACATGCTAAGCTATTTGCTGTCAAGCGAAAAACGATGCGGATCACAGTGATTTTTAGCGAGACACCTGCATGGATACGCACGGTAAACCTAATTATTATGCGAAGCAAAGGTGCCGTCTGTCATGAGTTCATCAGAAATCTTATGATAAGTAATGAGGGCGATCACGAAAGCAAAAGGTTACTATGCATTCAGCATTAAGAAAGCACTGATACGTGCACGTGCTTGACCGTGCATAGCTGAATCTGGTCTCGCCTCTAAGTAGCCAGTCTTTTTTATGAGAACTAATGAGTTTAACAAGGTTGCGCTACGTTTGTTCATTGAACGTTGATAGACGGGTAGTCCTTGTATCTGTTGGTTGCTGTTTGTTTATATGGTAGCTCTTTTAGGTAAAAGATACATGAGCATATGAGGTATGGATATGAGCATAATGAGCATAAGATGCTTGAGCTCCTTATGTAAGGTACATTACACTAATTTCAAAGGCTTCGGCGCAACTCTGTCTTTAAAATTTCATGGAGATGAATAAAAACATAGAATATGATTCATAGTGTTTGGCCCATTAACTTATTTAGTGCATAGTAAGTTATTTTTTCTCATTTCGACGACTCCGCAGTTAGACCCTTGTCTCCTTTATATGTGCGTGTTTCCAGCCATTGAGTCCACAGCTGGGCGATTTGGATGATACGGAAGCCCCGGCTTGGGATGATGACATCGACTCGACTCTCCAGGAGGTACGCGATACTTTTTTTTCCAATCCCTGTTATGATTCATCTATTGCACGGTGTACAAGGAAAATGTTTGGGAGCAAAATTTATTTTCAGCATCGTGTTGAGAAGCATCGTTCTCGTCAAGAGGAGCACGATCGTCGCATGAGAGAGAAGCGCAATCAAAGAGCCACAGCTGGTTATTTATAAAGCAACGGTGCATATTGACTTCATAATCATTGTCCGTCATTACTTTGATTATATGACAGTAAAGACTTTATCTAGTCGCCCCAACCAGTTTTATAGCATGTCGAGAATTATTTAAACAATTTACTGAAATATGTATCGTAGCGTAACTGATCTCGTTACACCGCATCCATTTTTTACCCTTTCCTGCCTTAATACTGGTTGCCGTGTATATAACACGATTCTGAATTTTTTTTTTGTTGCTGTTCAAATAGGGTATTTTACTTTTAGGGTTTACCTTCATTTCTATTGCGTGATGTTTTGTGGTCATTATCAAGCGTTGTGCTCCCTTTGTATAAAGTTTACTGCCTTCCTGAAGTATGGATAAAGTTCTTATCTAATCATTTGAAAGTATGCTTTGGTTTTTAAAGATTGGGACTTACAAGGATTTTCAATCTATGCTTTTTCTTTCAAGAAATGAAGCGTTCAAACTGTAATCTTGCAGGCTCCAATTTCATTATTCTAAATTATTGATCTATTCATTATTACGTTCTATTCTTCCATGCAAAATGTGAAATTGTGCAAAATATTGATAATCAACAAACTCATCGCTGGATCTTCTGAGCACTGGATTTTTGGTATTTAGCATAAATAGAAGTGATTGAGATGAGTATTATACTACTCAATGGATGTGAAGTCTTTGCATCTGACACTTATAGGGCATTTATAGCTCTTGAAGGCTTGAGTGTACATCTTGTTGCAGTCATTATGGTGTACTTGACTGCCATCCATTGCGGGCACTGCACTCTACTATGAATGCGGCCACTTCTATCAGTAGAGCCAAGAGGAGGGTGGATGTTGGAAACAAAAAGTAGCGTGTGAATTCATGAGGACCCAGGCAATGTTCGACACCAATTTGTGGGCTCATCTCACATCTTAGACGAGACATTAGGTTGAGGCGAGAGGATCAGACATAACATTGTCGATCCTCAAAAATTCATGGAGGAGAGCCAGTGCTGGCACCACGGCTCTCCAGTCGTGTCGCCACCATGCGCGAGATCGTCCACATCCAGGCTGGCCAGTGCGGCAATCAGATTGGATCAAAGGTAACGTTAATACTCTCCGGACAAATAGCAACTTTGTTCGAAATCCTCTGTTCAAACGAAAGTCTTTAGCCAGCTAAGCAAATTGCTTTTGAAATAGACCAATATCAAATCTGTCTAGTTACTCTGATCCTGTCGCAGAGGAGTTCCTTCAATTCCATGAAGCTAAAATAATTCTGGAGTTTTTGGGATTTTTCTAAGCTAGGCTGAAGCAACGATGAGTGGAAGTCTAAAATATTGCGTCTGTTCACCAAAATTTCGGGTCACATCAGTGAAAAGTTGCCGATTTCGAGGTAGAACCATACAATCTTTAAAAGCATCAAAAATCAT